AATTTTTGAATTTTTTTATGTGCAAATATTTGGAATAAAAAGAAAAATTTTGATATTAGAAAATTATTTGAATGATGTTTTTAGCCAAACTTCAATGAAATTATTGTGAATGAGACTATTGAACCAAGTATATAGGTTCAAATACATGAAAATAAATTTTAAAACTCAAGAGGCTAAGGCTAAGGTATTAAAAAAATAAAATAAAATAAAATAAATACTTAGACGTTAGAGTATGAGTGAAAATTGTGTTAACAATATTATTAACACATTGGGATATGATCAATTGTAGATTAATTTTCTTTTAACACCATTCAAGCTTTAAAAAGTTTTAAAAGCTTTGGAACTTAAAGGGTAACCTTTGACCTTTCAAAGGTCAAGGTAATTAAAAAAAATCTATTTTATACATTTGTATGTTAATTCATTAATTATGTTGGTGAAAACAAGAGAATATATATATGTATATATCTAAATTTTAAAATGATTGTTTGTAATGCATGTGGCTTTGTTGAGACTCTATGATTTGTGATCAAGTTAATTGTGACTTGGTGTGAGTAATAAGATTGATGGTTGATGATGATGTGGTACTTATAAATTGTGGATTATGCATGGTGATGAATTGTATATGAGCATGTTGAGTTTTATATCATACTAATGTAGTTTATGTGGTAATATAAAATTGATGCAAGAAGTATGATTGAAAGATGAAGAATTTTGATACTTCTTGAGCAAGAAAGTTGATGAGCATGTGGTATAATTGTGAATTATATATATATGTGAGCTTTTGAAATGCATTTTTTTCATAATCGTGATTATATAGCGAGAGTTCGCCTTAGTGAAGGAGTTAGCGGTTATGCAAAATCCATATGGTACTCAACTATTAACCAATAATCATAGGAGTTATAGCCGCTACTTACCTTATAAGGTACCATAGCATTATTCCTATTAAGGGATTTGACCCTATTGACCTACCTGGAGTTTTGGATAGAGCTAGTTTTGGGTATGACATCCTATAGTGTGTGATTCAGGGGAAATCGTGTTTATAAGTAAGGTAATCTTGGCCCGGTAGCCCCTCACAATATGATTAAGGCCTTAAGCAGTCTCACCATATGGACGATCCTTTCCAATTGTTGGCCCACAAATTTTATGTCAGAGAAAATAAGGGGGATATAAAGAAGAGATTGATCATACATATTATTATTATCATGCCATTTGAGTGATTGATGACTATGTTGAGAATATGATTATAATTGTAGAAATGAGAACATGTAGTAATTATGCAAATAATGTATACGTGGTTATTTGTGCAAATTTTATACTTGATTTTATTTTTGAGATTATTCATATGAGTTAGATGTTAATGTGATTAACATGTTATTAATGTGATTGTTTACATGGTCACCTTGATAAATTTATTAGCCACCTGCATTCATGATTAATTACCATGCATTTGTATAACTTAGATATACTTTAGTTACTAAGTGATTGTACTCACCTCTTTTTTTTAATATAGTACAGGAGCTAGTTCATCTCAGAAGAACAGAGAAAATAGTATTAGACCAAGTGATAGTAATCACTTCTATAGGCCTTTTCTCTTTTTATTTTGATATGTGTATTTAGTTTATGATATTGCCAACTAAGATAATATATTCTTGATTCACTTGCATTATGGGTTTTGTGTTGGGTGGAAATATATTTTGGGCTTTTGGGAATGTGATTTGATGCTTGTGTTAGATTAATGGGCTAAAATATTTGTGTAAATGAAAATAATTAATATCTACTTAGATTGAAAACTAGAATGTTTTTCTGGTTTCCCATCGTATTTTTGATGTCCAAGGGTGAGCATTTGATATTAATTATATGTGAATAAAAAGAAAAATTCATGCATATGATGAGCTATTGATGAATAGATGATATATAAAGTATGATGACTAGGTAATAGTCATTGTGATAAATGTGATTAAAACCTTGACCCCCGCTGCCAGTTATGGAAGGATTTGAGTGGCCAAGTGTTATGTTATAAATATATATATATGTATTGTGGAGTAAGGCATAGAGAAAAAATAAAGGGGGAAGCTTTTCTCACATGTTGATGTGTTTCTTTTATCATACTTTCGCATATGTCTAATTGAATGATATGAGTTCTTGAAATATTTTAAAAATTTAAAATTTCTTTATGTTGAATCGTTTGTAAAAATACACGTTAAGAATTTACTTAGGTTAATCTCTTATAGGATAATCCTTTTGGGCACATCCTTGATTAACCATAGTTAGTATGATGATCTAGGTCCTAATTTAGGACGTCCTTTATAGTGTAGGTGCAAGGCATCGCGGTTTGTTGCACATATCAGACAGTAATTTTGCTATCAAACGACAGCAAATTGGGGCAACTTTTGATGTTTTCCATTTCTGTATCTGACATCCAAATGGGGTAGTCTATGATACCGGAAGCTCTTTTTTATAAACTTATCGCATGCCTAGTATCCTTACTAATATGTTAAATCCATCTTCATATATATCTTCAATATCACTGTAGAGATTCTCAAAAGTGAATAAAATGTCGCATCAATGAAAAAAATTGAAATCATTTACCTAGTGAACAATTTCACTTTTCATTGAATAAAAAATAATTTCCAACTTTAAAATTGTTCTTGGCTTAAACAACTTGTCCACAACCTCAAACTTGTTCTCTTTCTAAAAGATTTTTTGTGTAGCATCTCGGTAAATATTTTTTATGTTGTAGAATTTAGGTAACTTTTTTTAGTGTCTACAATATATTGGTAAAAAAGTGGTTGGAATCCTGAAGAAGAGGGAAGTTAATGGGGTCTAGTCTAGAAGTGTAGAAGCCGCAATGACAAAAACCATGACAATGATGTGGAGGCCTCTGAACTTGCACCATTTTAATTGATAAAAGGTATCAGCCTTCCACAGTAGAATAAACAATTGTTTTCTTCAAAATAGATGGATGGTATCCTATGCTTTGATTTTGTTAGTTTATGAATTAATTTTTTATGAGGTGTAGAATATTTAGTGTTTCTTAAAAAATAGTTTAAAAATAAAAATAATCTTTAACCCATTTTTGATTGTTAAAGGAAAATATTATATCATAAAACAACTTGGCATTGCATACTCCTCTATGAATAGTTAGAGCTTGTTTGGTTGGCTAAAATTTAGACTTAAGAAAAGGAAGAGGAAGAGGAAAGAGAAAACTCTTTGATTTGGTTGGCAAGAATTTAATTGCTTGGAATCAAATTTTAAAGAAAAGAGTGGCATTTGGATTCTTTAAATGAGGCCAAGGAAAATTTTACTTTTTTTAGGAATTATTTTCTTATCCCAACTTTATCTTTAGACATTCTTTCACATCATCACCAACCTCACTTATCATCCCTAACCTCGTTGGCATCCTCCATCAAACTCCATCATCTATCAAACATCATCCCCCATCGCATGTCTACAACCTTGCTGGTGTCGCTGATTATCATGTGGGTTGTATATTGATTTCTTTGTCAAAGTTTAAAGGTCATAGGAAAAGAAGTTCAAAGGTGCTAGGGTTCCAGTTTAAAGGTTAAGGTTGCATATCTGAACATTGGTGGCACTACCTTTTGTGACAATGCTTCTCCTTCTCAGCAACGCTAAACTCAACAAAATATTGCCTTCAAATCTCGATGAAGAACTAGGCCACGCTAAAACTTTTTCAATCAAAATGTTATTTTTGGATTTTACAATATAAACCTTCAAATCTAATCTTACATGCTTATAGGTTAGAATCGATTTTTGCTACTGTTATGGCTAAATTGTTTTCTATAGACTAAATTTGAAAAATTGATGATATGAAGAGAGAGAGAGAGGTGAGAGATAAGGTTGCAAGAACCAAGAAGAAGAATGAGGTATAATTGTCTTATGTTATTTTTAATATTTTATTAAATAAAAAATATTTTAAGATTCCATCGAATTTTTTCTGCACACCAAACAGGAAGTCTTAAGGTGTGTTTGGTTTCACTACTTTTGGCATTCAAAAAGTTACTTTTTACTTTTATGAAGTTAAATGTTGTTTGGAATCTAAAAATCACATAAAACTAACTTCTGAAAAGGACTTTGAGAATGGACTTGCAACAAAGAAATTCAAAAGCTCTGATTTATAGCTTTTGAAACGTAAATTCAAACAACATGCATTAATTATTGATACCTACTATTTTAAAATGACCATGATACCCCTCATCAGTTTTGTCTTCTCGTCTCGGCTCGCTCAATGTGCTTTTCAGAACATCTCCTCATTCTCTCTTCTGTGTGTGTGTCACGTTAAGGGGAAAAAGATCTGAACAAAAAACAGTTAAAAAATTACAAAAAAGTTCCAAAATTTTTTCTTTTCATAACATAAAAGACAAGGGCATCTATGATAATTTTTTCATTATTAAAATAAAATAAAATCAACTTATTGCTGATAAGGTTTCAAACTTTAGACCTTTAAAATATTAGTATAAGTTACAATAAAATATCATTATCATTGTCCATTTGTTATAAAAACTAATTTATATGAAATATTAATTAGGAGAATTTTATTTATTTTTTCAAATTTAAAATTTAAAGTAATCAATATTTTTTTTACATTTTATGTTATTTTAAATTTGTTTCACATTTTTGAAACATTTCTAATAAATATAATAAAAATTATAAATTATTATAAACTAATGTTCTTTTTGGTCATTATATATTAAAAAGTACATTTTAAAAGTACAAAATTTTGTTAATTCAAACAACTTTTAATTTGCCAAACTGACTTTTGAAAAAATGTATCCAAACACAAATTTCGTTACAATAATTGACTTTTACCAAACTGACTTTTATCAAATAAATTTTTATCAAACTGATTTTTGATAAAAAAAAGACCAAACACACACTTAATCATTTCTAATTCATTTTCAATTCATTTTCCAATCCCATCTCCTTTAGCATGCGTCCGGTGAACCAAACGGGGCCTTGAGGTCTTAAGGAATTACCTAGTCCGAAATGGCTCTCGGGGCATCTCTCTCTCTCTCTCTCTCTCTCTCTCTCTCTCTTAAAAGTAGATATAAAGTCTATAGCCAAAACAAGAGACGCTTCCGTAACAGAAGGTCTCTAGGCATAAAAATGCAGCAGGTAATGCAAAACCCTAATTGAAAGCTCTCTCACTCTCGCCGTGTCCTTTTGAATGTCCTTACCGATCTCTCTGATGAAATCCCTTCCTACCAGGGCGGAGGATCTGACACGGAAGTCACATGGGAGGACCAGCAGAATATCAACAAATTCGGAAGGTTGAATAATCGCTTTCACGAGCTCGAGGATGATATCAAAATCGCCAAGGTCGTAGTTCCTAATTTCATCTTTATACATACTTGTTCGTCTTTCTCGTTACTTTCCTGATTCCGGCTTCCTGTCATTTGCCTTGTACTTTCATCAGATGGAATGTGAAAAGGAACCTACAGCTTTTGTTTATATTTTTTCTCTTATTTTTTAGTGAGATTGCCTGGTTCAAAAAGGATTTTACGATGCTAATACTGGACACGGAAGAAATCCAAAAGGGATGCATGTTCCAGCAAGAATTTAATACCTGTTAGCCATCCTCGCAGTGACGATTGACTGCTGGTTTTGTTCTCTAATGTTTTCGAGCGCTTGCCGATCTCACTTTATGCCTAAATCCCTTTACAGGCTATCCCATTAAATTCATAATTCATAATTCATAAATGTTATCAATATCTATCCTTGCCTGTATTTGCATCCATTGCGTGGTGGCAGGACTTGAAGTCGATTGTGCTCTGGTGCATGATTTGACTCTGGATCTAGATGGATTACGAACAAAGTACAGCGGGGAATGGGATGAGTGGTACCAGTCTAGAATTACGTGTCTCATTTGGAAAGGCCTGAGCTTTTGCCTACTGTCCAATCTCTTTAGCAATGCGATATAATCTGGCACCCGTATTGGCTGTTTTATATTTATAGTTCAATATTTGGTAAGAGGAAAAAAAGGAACCATATCTCCTGCTCAGAAGAGGGGAAAAGAGAGAGCAAGTAAAAGTCGGTCCAAGGAAGTACCTACGATTCCAGTGCTGACTGCTTATGTGATTCTAATTTGGCTTTGATATCAAACACGGAGTTTATTAGTTCATCTATGTTGGAGATCCATCGTATGGCTTGGTGATATTCAAGCACTGATCTATCAGTCTTGGGGCTTCTTCTGACTGATATCTGTTTTTTCAGGAAACTTGCGACAACTTGGAGGATGCCAGCAATGAGCTGATTCTCACAGATGAGGAGGTGGTACGATTTCAGATAGGAGAGGTGTTTGCCCATGTGCCAAAGGATGAAGTTGAGAGCAGGATCGAGGAAATGAAGGCGGTGACAACTGAGAAATTGGAAAATCTGAAAGAGGAGAAGGAATCCGTGCTTGCAGAGATGGCTGAACTGAAGAAAATTTTGTACGGAAAGTTCAAGGACTCGATCAATCTTGAGGAGGATTAATGGCTTTTTCTTTCTTTTTTTCTCCTGTAGATTTGTAGACTATGTTAATGTGATTTCCATGCTTCTTGTCGGACCTTACGCCCTGTTTGCTCCATTGGAATTGGTTTTGATAGAGATGGAAATGGATATGAAGGTGGAGATAAATATGAAATTAGTTATGGAAGTGATATGTTTGCTATGTTTATAAATCATGATATAATTTGTATTCAAAAGATCAAAATATCCTCGAAAAACTATCATGGATGACAGTCATCCGGCCGCCCCATTCCTCTATAACTTCACTCCGGTTATGACTGACACGCAAATGATTGATTTTAATCTTCATCTCATCACCCGAATCTGGGACAAAAATACGGATCTCTCCTCCATCCCATCACAATGATAAAAAATAGCACCTTTGCCCCAAGCTTCTTGATAGTGCACATCAACATGGGCCAAATGGAAGGCCCCACTTGCCAAACTCATTCAAAGGCCCGGGGGGGGGGGGGGCGTAACAAATTTGTGTTAATTGTAAATTGTGGAGTTGGCGCCATCCAAAATAGTAGAAGGCAAGAAACTCAATCAAGGAAATTTGCTTGAGCAAGACCCAATTAATATGCGTTCATTGGCGTGAATGCCAACCAGGTTGCCGACAATCTTCCACTACTTGAGGCGACGGTCAAGCTCCTGTAGTCCACCACCATCGCAAACGTCTGGCTTTACAGTGCCGATATGTTCTTCTTGTAGCCCAATCTCGCCCTCCTTGATTCAGTCTGCATTGACCACATTCTCACTGAACAGGAAAGTGAAAATGAAATAGATCTAAAACCAAAACAGATTTGAAAATGAAACAAATTTAAAAAGCTGGGTGACGAAGGAGGAGGATTGGTCAAAAGCTGGGTTATCCTTTAATGAAATCGACCTTGAGGGAGGGTAAGGCCAAAAGGTCATCAGCCCGGGGGGGTGGGGTCAATGGCGAACAGAGGAGGTTGCCACCGACTTGCCAGGAGTGGATGAGAAGTCGTCGGAACGTTCATAAGAGACGATAGAGGGAAGAATAAAAAATAAAAAATGGAACATGGAATTGCAAAACTGAGATTTTATTATAGAAAATTCCATCATTTTGGGTAGAAATGGCTTTTATATAGAATTGGTTTATATCATACCAAACAAGCCTAAATCTTATTTCCACCATCAATTCCATTTTCACCCTCCTCAGACGAGCCCTTAAGGTTTTTAGTGATGGCATTATAATTTTCCCATGTCACTAGTTGGCCTTCCATACCTTGGGCTTCATGCATCTTTGTTTGTTTATTCTTTGGATACAGAATTTGAGGTGAATGGGTTGAACAATGATCAACGGCTATCTGCCTATCTCTGTAAATGGAGAAAAGACTTGCTCGTTCTAAGAATCACCTTACAGTACTCGGTTGCTATTCCAAGTTGAACCATTTCATTTCGTGCATTGAGAATGAAAACTTGGGAATTGTGTAGGACAACCAAGGTTGTCTAAAAGTCAGATCAAACAGCAATCTTTAGCGATAAGGCCAACTCAATTGTTCATTCTAAGGCGGGATCTGAATTCTCTCTTTTCCACAAGCACGCAGTTTATAAGATGCTCGTTTAACAACTGGGTACCAGAACTTTGGTCCAGTCAAGAACCTTGTCCTAGCAGGAATCCCTAATTCTAAAACACCTAAGCCAATCAACGAATTCACACTACTGAAGGGATTTGTAACTGGGTGTAATTCGAAGTTCGACACATGCTACCGCAAGCCTGAAAGAAGGTTTACTGAAGATAGCTGGAATCGAACCGCCATATTTCTCTGATGGGGGTAAAGGCCATGCTGGGAAGTAGGAGTTAATAAGGAAATGGCATGTCAAGACGTTTCTATGGTTGGTGATCAAGATTAGGCTGCTCTAACAAGCAACTAGAGACTCGAGGGGGACATGGCGCAGGATGTTACCTGTTAAGCATGCATGACTGACATTGAAGACCTTGACCATATTCCTCGCTGCTGCCCACCGCGCTATCCTCAAGCCAAGCCACGCCACGCCACCTGAGCAATTTAAGTATAGAAAATTATGAATCACACACCGTTCAAGCTATGACTCAACACGCTACTCGGGTCATTCAAGCATCGACAATTATGTCCTTGTATGTACATTGTTGGGGTTGCCCCGATTACTATTGCCTAGGCTCATAACCTTCCCTGTACTTTGTTGGTGTAATTATTTTTTTTTTTTGAATCAAATCTCTTGACACCAAAAAAAAAAAAAAAGAAGGAAACGAAAGGATGTTCATTTAAGTTCACCATGCGGGCTCCCCCTACCCCGCTCACACAATACCATTCTTTCCAGCTTTCAATTTCAACACAGCTCAGATTTATCATTTATCACGGGACGCAAATGCTCTCACTTAAGCCATCTTAATTGGACGGATTCTTCTAACAGCGTAAGGACAACAACAGTGACCTCATTATATCCTCGGATTTACAAGGTTGCCCAAAAAAGGAGCTCGTCCAAGCTAAACAAATCCCAATTTCATAACAAGAGAGGCACAATTTCACCCCGACAAGTGATGAGTCAGACTTCAAGATCGATACCCAGAGGCCAGAGCAAAATTGCCTTCACTCATAGCTCTTCCCAAAACAACAAGCACGAAGTACGGTGATCTCATAGTCCTTCCAATAATAATTTCAGTATTCACTGTTGTACCTGAAAGCTGTGAAATAAGAATAAACAGAACCACCACCACCATCATGATGCAATAACTACCGACTACAATATCAACATGCGTAAAGCACAAGGGGGGAAGCTATAATACAGCCAGAACTACTGTCGCAAGTTCCACGGTGAAGTTGATGAAAACGACAAATGCAATGCGATCAACTCATAACAAGATAGCGTCCCTTTTCCCCGAGAAAAATGTCTCAATCAATTTAAGTTACAATTTTATCGTACTATTAGGCCAGATATAATACAGCATTCAGGCTCTCTTGCATAAAACATGAGGAAACGAGAAAAAAGTAAGGCTAAATTCCAATCCCAGGGGGCCTGTACACAAGCAAGTCCAGATCATCACATTTCGACTTCGTCCCCAAAAGGGTGGCATCTGAAATCCTTGTAGCTCTTCCCCTTCTAAATCTTAATTCTTATCTTCATCTACTCTAATCAGCTTACAATCATCCTCCCTGCATCTTTATTAAATCCTTTTAGAAAAGCTTCGTTAATATATTCTGAAAATTTCTTCCTATTCCCTTCTGCATTCTGTGTTCTCATCTCTTCCAATCAACATGATTTAGCAAAAGGATTCACCTTCTCCAGCTAAAACGAAAAAATCAAGGGAAATACAGAAAGTGCAAAATACTAGCGTACATGATAAGGAATATTTATGAGGCATGCCAAATTATGTACGTAGTATGGAATAGGGCCCTAAACCAAACTCCAGGAAATGAACAGTTATATGGAAAAACTTAGATAGAATATCTCCACGAATTCAAGGTTAAACAGACACTGAAAATGAAGTTAGTAGAGTATAGTCCCACTTTAAATATTTACAACATCTGTCTGCGGGTGAACGATGATGACACAAGATTAATAGGTTAAATTTAAACATCAAACTGATAAAGAACACCAATACTGAACTAGCTAAACAGACCATCTATTTTTTTTCATAGCTCTTCCTCAAAAAAAAAAGAAAAGATAAAAAAAATGCAGGTAATGACTTACAATCGATCAGTGACATGGATTAACAGAAAACACCTAATTCCAATTCATTGTTGAAAAATGCTTGATCACTTGTCACAACTCCGTGCACAGAAGATGATCCAAGGTCACAACAGCTTGAATGCAAGATACAAGTCGGAGACTCAGATAGAGAATACCCAAAAACCAGCAGCATTTATCATCATTTTCAGCACTTCTTCTCAACAATGGTATCAAATATAATGTCTACATTGAATTTGGACCGAAATCTGCACCATTTCATGTGTATGTGCATATATTTGTATGTGTGTGTGTGTGTGTGTGTGAAACAAAACAGAAGAATTCACTTCATGGTATAAGGCAAACATGAATTGAATGCTGCAAACGAAGGCCATACCCGGTAAATCTAAATCCGGGTATAGGTTGGTCTCAGAGGCTGACTTCCCACAACAGACAACAAGCCGCCTCCGGCAGCAGTTTCCTCATCAACAAACAAGTCCTCGGTAAGTCGAAAAGCGGCATGCAAGCCAACAATCGACAGTCCTACTATGAGAGAGATCAATACATTCAGTCCCACACGAGTTAACACGAGCGCAGCAACAGTGATTAAACTGAGAGCACATAGTACTATTCGATCATCGACAGTACGGTGGAAACAAACAAGGGGAGTATCACGGAAGAAGTAGAGAATGAACCAGGCAACAAAAACGATAAGGAAAACGATCATGGAAACGGGATGCCACAAGAGGCTAAGGAAGAGAATGATGAGCATTACGAGAGCGTAATTGAATCGGAAGTAAGAGAGGTTTCGTCTGAGGCGCGACATGGCGTCAGCATATGAATAAGGACGGGAGAAGGCAGAGAAGTCGAGGAGGTCGCGCCATGGACGGAGAGTGGCACCAAGAGGGCGAGTGGCAACATTGGGGCGGGACCCGAAGGAGAGATCCGAGGACGCGGAGGCGGAATTAGGTTGACCAGTGGCGGTGGAGGTGAGTGTGCCGTATCCAGAGGTGGTGACGGTGGACATAGGAGTGAGTAGAATGAAACAATGAAAGTACAGTGGAGCAAGGTACAGAAATCGGAACTGAAGTGAAAGGAAAATTAGGGTTTGATTATGGTGCCAAGATGGGATCGAGGGTAAATGCGTTTTTGTTCTTGCTCTCTTGCATAATTTCTGCCAACTTTTGCTGTCTCTGAAAATTTACGGCGGAGAGTTGGTCACTTTAAATTAAGTTCTTTAATTTTATTAAAGAAATAATTTAATTTATATGAATAGTTCTCATTCTCATATCATGAATTAACTAGCTCTCAAGCCTCACCTTGTGCAATGGGGCATGTAGTATTTTGTTTTCAGAGAAATGCAATGCATGTGAGATAAATTGAAGGGGGGATGACATCAGAGTGTTAAAAGAGAAAATTAATAATAATTATATATACATCTTTGCAAAAAAAAGTTTAAAAAATAAATAACAAAAATTAATTGAAATAGTTATAAATAAAAATCACAATTATAAATTAAAAGTTATATTTAAAATTTAAATATCTTATCAGCAATTAAAACTCGTTAATTTATAATTATTTGAATCAATATTTATAATTATTAAAATTAATATTCATAATTTATTTGTTATAACATTTTATTAAAAACCTAACTGTTATTCTTTTTTTTTTTCCTAAAGTTTAACTGTCGTAGTAATCAACCTATCCCTTTCAAAAGTAACTTGTGTGGTAATGTTTAAAATTAACGTGCTTGGGAAGCAAAAATTTGGGAAGCCGAAACATGTCAATGAACTTTGGCTGGAAGCGTAACAATGGTCAGCAAGTGTCAGGCAACAGCAATATCACATCTTTGTACAATCTTGTATTTTAAACTCTCTTTCCATCTTTGTCTCTGATGCAACCCTTTCATTCTCAGAATTCAAAAGCTTTCACATCAGTGCTGTTACAAAACAGAAGCACAGAGAAGTTCGTGGAAGTTTCAGACAGTACGATGGACTTCGACATTCAACCATAGAATGAATGAAGATGCTAAGCATGGATGACAAGGTTCGGGTCGGAATATCTAACTGGTTCCCCCCCCCCCTTTTTTTGTTCTTCATCTTTCTCTTCTTTTAGTACTACTTCCTCATTTTTCCAGCTTGATCTACTATCTTAATCAGTTCAATAATTAATTTAATTTTTTACACATTGGTATTTGTATTTACTTGCACTATCCTTATCTTTTGTAAAGTAGTATAATCTCTTCACTCTCACTATAAATTACAATTAGGTCCCGTAAGATTTGATTGTATTTTTTCAAATTTGCGGGAGCTCTGTGCTACCTCTACATAATTTTTTTATTTAAATATAATGTATCATTACATTATTAAATATAATTTAGATAAAAATCACTATATAATTAGTAAAGTGTTAAGGAAGAATGATAATAAAATTTTAAAAAAATAAATTAATAATGATTAGGTCCCAACAAAATTTTATATTAATTGAATTTTAAATATCAATTTAAATAATTATAAATAAAAATCTGAATTATAAACTAAGTAATATATTTAAAATTAAATTTTTTTAAATCTATAACTATTTAAATTAATATTTTGTCAAAAAATTATTGTGAATCTAACTATTTGCTCATTTAAGACTTTCATTTCCTGAAGTAATAATTTCGTCATGAAAACTTGTAGCTTGTTGGTCTATGTAAAATAATAATAATAATAATAATCAAGCCCTAAACACTAAGCGCAAAGCTTTCGCCTTCCACTCAGTCGTGAACCTCGGAAACTTCCTCACCGTCTTCATCTGAGCCGATCGTCTCTTCCCCTTTCAGTCGATCCCGTGTTCAACATTGTTCTCCCACATCCTCCATTCTCCTCCTTCCTATTCTTTGGTTGATCGTTGTTCAGGGGACGCCTCCCTTATCCTCTGTTGCCCGTCTTCTGTCTTCCCTCCCACCTCTTATTGGATCCCTGTTTGGTGGATGAATCTGGTGCTAGTGCAGGTTTTGGAGGTAAGTGTTAATAAGCCAAGTCCCATTATCATTAACCTATAGATAGATCAATGAATTAGAAAATTGGGTTGTGGAAATCTTAAAGCTTGTATCTAAGTGAATCATTTAAATGTTTCAGTTTTTTTCCTACCCTTTAGCTTGGACATTGATGGATGGAATGTTTGATTTTGATTATCATGATGCCTTGTTGTTAAGATGGAATGTTTGATTTTGATAATCATGGTGCCCTGTTTTTAAGCTTAAGGTTATGAAACTCGTGTAACACTGGATATGTTATCAAGGGTATATGAAATGGGAAATCTTTGTCTGTCATTTCTAATTTCTGAAACTTCAAAAACTTGAAGCTCATGATTTACGGCAGTCACTGGATGCTAATTGAAGCTCATAATTTTTGAAACTTTAAAAACTCGAAGCTCATGATTTAAAAACTTTAAACACTGGATATGTTATCAAGCTCATGTTTGGTTGTTTGTGTTAATGAATTTTGCTGTGTCACTGCAGTCACTAGTTTATTCCCACTGACAGTTGTGGCCTTGACTTCAATAGCATTGAGAATTGTTGCTATGACAATACTTGGTGATGATAAGCATACTTAATACTCTCTGTTTCTTCAGTATACTGATGATTAATTATAATTATTATAAGTATACTATTTTTTCATAGTGACCAGAACGATTAAAGTGTTGGAGAGTCATTATTAGCCATTTTTGGCATGTGACATTTTATAAGTGATGCATTAGGTTATTTAATAGTTGGAGTTAGCCTCCAATTTGAAGCAGCTTTTCCACTTGTTGTCACGTAACTATAAGCAATTATCGGTCATTTTGATTGTCCTTGCAGAAGATTTTATGAATTGATAATTCTAGGTTTTTTAATCCGTTGTTTAGGATGGCCTAGATTGTCAAGTCATTGATTTGTAAAACATGTTATGCAGGTGATTTTGTTTGTTCCTCTATTGAAGTATTGTGCTTGAATGGGTATGAACAGAGCGGAACTTGGAGGAAGGAGATCTAGGGACTAGATTGACTCCTTTGGTTGATTTCGTGGTTCATTGAGTATACTCCTCCTGTGACAGTTGCTGGCTTTGCCATTATAACTAAATCCATATAATGGTGGGAAGTAGCTTCACGAGTGCTGCTTCAAAGTATAGCACATGGCATTTTTGTCAAGCTTCAAGTGTCGAGGTCGTTCATGGTCAAGTCAACTCAATTGTATGGCAAAATTCTTGTGTTTCTCGTGGTCAGACAGATCATAATTTTTCTGGGTATTCGCTATAAATTGGGGGGTCATCCTAAACTTCATCGTAGTGGTATTGTGGCCACTTTGGTGTTATCTGATGGATTCCAAATGTATTGAAATCTGGATATAGTTGCACAAGGAGCATATACAGGCTATTTGATGGTGAAAAGTCAAAGAAAACAAGGAGGAAAAATAACCTTCTCTCTAGGAAATTAGAGAGATGGTAGAGCTTCTCTCTATTACAAAATAGTTTTAATGTAATATATCAATGTTGATTTTTAGTTGTAAATTTTCAAGTGACAATTGTAAATATGATAGCACAAGTTATTAAAGAGTATGGTTTTATCACCATTTCATTTCATGCCTTTTAAATTGTAAAAAATGAAATGTCAGCCCAGTAAATGGCAGTTGTAGAAATACCAGCTGTATAAATTAGGGAATTTGAATTGTAAATCTACCATGACAAGTTGTAAACATGTGACACCTTCAAGTATTAAATTAGGGAATTAAGGATTAGTACTTTTAACAGGTTAAAATAGTACTCGTCATTACAATATCGAATTTGAGTGTAATTATGCGACTCCTTTGAGTCATAGATCACTCATTTTATCATATTTACAATATGTTTTTTACCAATTACAATTTTGCAAACTCACAAGTGCAATTTTACAATTTACAAGTAGAACTTTTCATTTAAAAGTTATATTTTGTATTTTATAAATAATGAATTGAGGTCATATTTTCCCCATCACTTATAACTGTTATTTCACAATTTACAAGTAAATTTTTTTAATTCACAATTCATATTTTATTTTATAGATAATATATTCAAATTACATTTACCCTTCACTTACAATTTTTACATCACAATTTAAAAAAAAAAAACTTCAAATTTCATACGTTATCTTTCATGTTTTTCAAATAATAGATTGAAGGTAAATTTATTTTTCGCTTACAATTGTTATTTTACTATAAATAGAACTTCTAAATTATAAATCATATTTCGTACTTTATAAATAATAAATTGAAGTCATAATTATCATTAAATTATAACTGTTACTTGTAAAGTAAAAATTCTTAATTTACAAGTTATATTTTGTATTTTATAAACAATAATCTAAAGTGAACTCATAATTCTTAAAATTGAATACATAAACTGTACAGATCATATATTATTATTTATAATTTATAAATCATAGAATATCATACATCACAAGCATATTTCATAATTCTTTTTTTATACAAGAGAAATAAAAGGAAAAAGAAAAAGAAAACAACAAAACACCACTTTGTTGAAGTGGAACTTCATTTGTCATCTTCGAATATGCACCATCCACCGGGATCTCGATCTCATAATCCGTTTTCTGGAGAACTTCATTTCTTGTCACAGCAGCACCTCGAGCTTGTACCATACTCAGCTAGAGTTGAATTGTATACATCATACAGTAGAGTTAAATTCTTAAAGTCAGTTTCATTCTTAAAGGAAATGAACTCTCTTGTTGGACCAAAGTCAAAACTTCAAAGTAGAGAATCATCTCCTCCCATCCATATTACAACTACCACCCTCTTCTTGCACAAGCCTATGTTCTCCTCCGTTTGATGTTTCCGAACTTTCCAAGTCTCACAGAAAAATCCTCTTTTCAATAATTCCATCTTCACTACCTAGTATTGTCTGACCATCTGAACACCATTTGATGTTCTCTCCATCTCCTTTGAATCTATTCAAAACCCATGAATTCCCATAATTGAATAATGGATTTTCCATAGAAAAACCAGAAGTTGATGAGATTGTCGCTCTGCAAAGAGGGCGTGTAGAGTTTGAGAAAAGTCACGTTTCTAGACAACTGATGTGAAAAAGCGTAGCCACACATTGGCAACAATCTTAGCTTGTCATGCTCTGAGAATTCACAGACACACAGCACAATCAGAGGGTTCTTTCAAATCCAAGACATCCTTGCAGTAAAAAATCTGAAAAAGTGATGTTAAGGGATAGGATGATCATAATCTAGTTAATTATGGAAAATGCATAAATCCAAATTTTAAGGATTAGTAGATGATTTATTATCATCAAATTAAGAACTAGAAATGCTCCTTCTTCTTTTTAAATGTTTAATAAAGAGGCCATAACTGAATCTGTGATAAGTAATAGCTTAAAGCAAGGGAACAGATCCTTGGCAAATCTTAATGATTATATTACTATAGAAGAAAAGAGCACGTGGTGCACCTGAACAAGATTCTTCTCCGTAGCATTGATGGTTGATGATTAATTTTCACAAGCTTAATTTTCTCAGCAGCATTGAAACAACACAGGGAAACTAAAACTCTAACATTACAGAGTAAAAATGCAAGTGAGTCGAGTCGAGCAAAAGCTCAGGCGCAATGAAGCAAAAACGATTAAAGGGAAGGTGACGACAGTGAAGAGGGAAGCAAGTGATCAAGACAATGGCGAAGGGAAGTAAAGGAAAGTGACGGCGAAGGGTAACAGATGAAGGCGACGGCACAGGGGTTCACACGGTTGCTCTGTGGAGAAGCGATCTGGATGAACGCAGGATGAGAAGGCGAAGAAGGAGCACCGAGCACGTTCAGAAAACCTAAAGGAGAAAGCGTGTTTTTTTTTTTTTTTGGTGTTTTAATAAGCAGGGCTATAAAGGTTTTTTTATCTAAAATTTAAAGAATGTATTTTTCCAAATTTACGGACCTATGTATAAATAAATTCCTTATACGATACACATGCATAATTTTTCCAATAAAAAATGTACTACCATGTCGGTTACTGTATTTATATGCTGTGAGGAAAAATTGAGAGAAAAGTTTTTGTGACTAATTTAGACTAGAGCAATTCAACCCGCACGTGTTGGTGCGCCAACATCAATGTGTGAAGAGAACGTAGTTTGGATTTTTCCATGTTATAGAAGGGATAATATTAAGAAAAAATCATTAGAAATATAACTTAATTAATAATGCTTAATTGCTTATACTTCTAAGGGAATGAATATATATATATATATATATATATATTTTAAAAAAAAAGGAGCAATGGAAGCAAAAGGTGGAGATGCAATTGGGTTGTTGGTAATGTGTACAATGCAAGACAAAAGATGAGAAAGTAAAAGACTGAAAGCAAAGTGAGCTAAATGGCTAGACAACAACCATGAATGGATTTAAAAAAAAAAAAACAGAGAGAGAGAGAGAGGAAAAGGAAAGGAAAAATGCTAGATACCCTAGAGAAGGTGGACTTGATGATCTTGAGAGGAAATAGTTCAGACATGAGAGTTCAACCATCCTCCTGTGACTTACAAAATGAGCAGTCCCTGCCACGCATGCCTTCACATGGTTACACCGTAATCTCCTTATACGTCCAAAACCAAAATTGGAGCCAACAGTCTCACTTTCTTGCGTCCTCCGAAAAAGCCCACCTTCACATGCACTCTAATGCGATAATTGATCCAACTTTTCTTTTGCATTTCTGGGACGTGAGTCTCCCTGGAGGCTCCCTCTGCACACACCATAGCTCACCTTTGATTCAAAAAGACTGCATCACAGAACAAGCAACGGCTTGAGCCCAATGCCTTAACTTCGTTTTCACTTGCTCGGGGTCCTCCCCTGCAACCGCCACACAAGAAATTCATTAAGTGTTCAGTTTCATGTATGAGAGTATGTAAATGAAGCATCGCAAATGACCTGGGCTGCAAATCCTCCATGAGTCAGGGTCGCTTTTTGAGCTCCCAAATGATGAAGAGCGATCGCCGAGGCTTTGAGGAGTAGACCCGGGGCTGGAAAGAGATAGTTGTCGATTGACGGCAAAATAAAGGTCGAGGGCGGGCAAGGTGTGGGTCAGCGATTGACCGGCTTCCTCGGTGAATCCGAACCCCAACTCTATACTCCCTTTAAGCTCATTCAGATCCTCGTCCGTCAGACGATGATCGCAATCATCGTGACGAAGCCCATTTCTCCTTCGCTCTTGCTCCAGGATCTGCCTGCGCCTCTTCTCCCACGCTATGTTCCGGCGCGTCTCGCACATGGACAACTGCTTGGAGAGTCGCTTCCGGTTATGCCAGGGCGGCGGCTCTAGCGACATGAGGCCGAACTCGTCCCCGGAGTCCTCCGGAGAAGAAGAAGGGGGATGGGGAAAAGGCCGTCGCTGATCTTGTTCAGCCATACTGTTTGGGAGGCGAGAAGGAAGATGAAAAATTAAACAGACGTGATGATATCGTGGTTGTGGTGGCGGAGGCAGCAACAAGAGCCGCCTCGCCAGGCAGGGATGATTGATTAACGTAGGACGATTGATAGAACGAAATGAAGAATGATGAGCGGGGCACGAGAAACAAGAATGGAGGTGGGGAAGCGGATGATTTAAAGGATGGATGGAGGGGAGAGTTTACCAGGCATGAGTCTTATGGCTATGTTGTTGCTACTTCATATTCCACCATCCATTGGTAACAGAGGTTTATTTTTAGGGCGAAAGATGAGAAGTTAAGGATGCCATTCCCAAATTTAGTGCTGCTTCTAATTAGCCTTTTCCATGTAATTCCATTATGCTATTTCTGTCGCTGTATGTCTTCTCTAATCAAACGCTCTCCATTTACCTAGCTTCCCTTCTTGTTGATCACCGTGGAATGGAACTTGTTGTGAGTGAACAAGTGATGGTCGTCCGCTCCTCCCAAGGGTTGGGCAAAATATTATTTGAACCGTAAATGTAAGCAATAAGAAAATTATAAGAAATTCAAAAGAAAAGAGAAAATTGTAAGGAATGAACGAACGCTAAATTTGGGGACCAGGGAGGACCAGGATGAAACCCATCTCCTAAATTTAGTGCATTTATTTTGGATTCTTCAATAGCGACGCTGGCTCGTCAACACTGGTTTCCAACAACCTCCCATCTCAAACAATAAAAGTTTAACTGAACTCCCAAAATTAGAAGCTGAGATCAAAGCAAGCAGTGCAGCGAAAGAAGAGTCGCCATCCTCAAAACAAACAGAAGAATAAAAAGAAGCGCCATGTTTCCTAACCTGGTTTGGTCTGTCCATTCCAGGTAGGTCATTTAGATGGTTGTGTCTGCTGCATTCTCGCCTCAAAACCACTCCAAACACAAACAAGGCCGTTTTCTGGCTTATTCGGCGTACGGGAAAAATCTTGCGACCCTCCCTTTTTTTCCTGTACGCCAGCCAACGTCTCCGGAATCATCATGACCCACAACATACATTTCCGCGTCCTGCTCCCTTTACTGTGTCTCTCTCTTGTCGTCAATGCCGTTCTAGTAAGGAGCCAAAACCCGTCGTCGTTGATCCTGGGATGTGGCTTGGCCGACGGCGGAGGCAAAGACACAGACGGAAGGCAATGGAGCCCCGATGACAAGTACCTGTCAGGAGGTAGTTCCAGCACGTTCAGAGCCTCCTACCAGGATCCTTCGCTCTCGTCCGAGGTTCCTTACATGACGGCTCGAGTTTTCACTTCCGAGGCCACCTACAGATTTCCCATTAGTTCCGACAAGCGTTACTGGCTCAGGCTACACTTTTATCCCTCCGTCTATTCAAATTTCGATCCTGCCAATTCATATTTCTCGGTCACTGCAAATGGGATCACCCTCTTGAGCAATTTCAGCGCCTCCATTACTTGCGAAGCCCTTTCGCAAGCTTACATCGACAGAGAATATTCCCTCGCCCCTCTGAACTCGGATTCTCTCACTCTCACCTTCAAGCCTTCCGACAAGTACAAAGGGTCTTTCGCTTTCGTGAATGGCATTCAACTCGTCGAGATGCCGAACTTGTTTGATTCGGCCACGCTGGTGGGTTTTAACCAAATGATGGATACCAACGGCTTGCATTCGCAGACAATGTTCAGACTAAACGTTGGAGGACAATACATATCACCATCCCAAGACTCTAATCTCTCCAGAACGTGGTACGACGACACCCCGTATCTTTACGGTGCATCCACGGGTGTCACCACCGAAGCGGACAAGAGCGTCCGAATCAACTATCAAAACATGCCGCAGTACATCGCTCCTCCTACCGTCTACTCCACGTCCAGATCTATGGGAAGCGACAAGGACGTGACGCTGGGGTATAACCTTACGTGGATTTTCCAAGTGGATCCTAATTCCATGTATCTCACGAGGTTACACTTTTGCGACTACACGTTTGACAGAATCAACGAAATAACCTTCAATATATACGTGAATAATCAAACGGCCCAGTCCGCGGCCGATGTGATTGGATGGACGAGTGGGAAAGGCGTGCCGACTTACAAGGACTACGTGGTATATGCACAGGATGGGCCCAGCGCCGATCAACTCTGGCTTGCTCTCCACCCCGCAACTGATACCAAGCCTGAATACTATGATGCCATTCTTAACGGGGTTGAAATATTCAAGCTCAACGATACAACCTTGGCGGGACCCAATCCTCAGCCTTCGGACATGCTCATGAAGGCGCAGGAGGAGGAGCAAAAATCTTTCGCGAACAAGGGGCAGCAGAATAATCATCCGGCTATAATTGGTGGAGCTGCAGGAGGGGCTGCTTTACTGGCTGCACTGTGCATTGCAGTTTACCAGAGGCAGAGGAGAGTCCCAGGATCAGAGTCGCACACATCAAGCTGGCTTCCGCTCTATGGGAATTCCCAAAATGCCAGCAAATCCACCATTTCTGGGAGGAGCTCGGCTGGTGTTACCTTATCGGCCACTGCTCAAGGCCTCTGCAGGTATTTCTCATTGCCGGATATAAAGCACGCGACCAGGAATTTCGATGAGTCCAACGTTATTGGGGTCGGAGGATTCGGTAAGGTGTATAAAGGTGTGATTGATAATGGGTTTAAAGTGGCAATCAAGAGGTCCAATCCGCAATCGGAACAAGGCGTCAATGAATTCCAGACTGAGATCGAGATGCTTTCCAAGCTTAGGCACAAGCATTTGGTCTCATTGATCGGGTTTTGTGAGGAGGATGATGAGATGTGTCTGGTTTATGACTACATGGCTCGTGGCACTTTAAGGGAACATATTTACAAGGGAAACAAACCTGTCAACGCTCTATCATGGAAGCAAAGGTTGGAGATCTGCATCGGAGCTGCCAGAGGACTACACTACCTTCATACCGGAGCTAGGTACACCATCATTCATAGGGATGTCAAGACAACTAACATTCTTCTAGATGAAAATTTGGTTGCCAAAGTTTCAGACTTCGGCCTCTCAAAAACTGGTCCAAACATGAATAACGGCCACGTCAGTACAGTGGTAAAGGGTAGCTTTGGATACTTGGATCCTGAATATTTTAGGAGGCAACAGTTAACAGAGAAGTCCGATGTGTACTCATTCGGGGTTGTCCTATTTGAGGCACTCTGTGCAAGGCCTGCTCTAAATCCCAGCCTTTCCAAGGAACAGGTGAGCTTGGCAGATTGGGCTCTGCTGAATAAAAGAAGAGGGACTCTAGAGGATATAATAGACCCAAATCTCAAAGGAAAGATCCATCCAGGAAGCTTGAAGAAGTTCGCAGACACTGCTGAAAAGTGCTTGTCAGATCATGGAGTGCATCGTCCCACAATGAATGATCTGTTATGGAATCTTGAACTTGCCCTGCAGCTGCAGGAAAATCCCGATGCTTCAATGAAGTCATCTTCGCGTGCGGAGGAAGGAGAATTCGAAGAGATAAGCTTGAAAAGCAACGACGCAGCAACACATTATAAGAATCCAAGCCTAGGGGGTGAGCAGGAGATGAGCAAGGAGTCGGGTGAGAATTCTAATGCCATCTTCTCACAAATTGTCAATCCCAAGGGACGATGAAGAGAATGGTGCTCATATAATCTTTGTGCTGTATGAAATAGCTTCATTGTTTAAGATGCCATGGAAAAATCAGCTCAAAATATATACCGCTTTGATTGTTTCCGTGTTTTCATAATTTCTCGGGCCTTGCCGTTCGTTATTTTTTCGGTTGGACAACCTATAATGTCTGTGGCAAATTATTTGGATAAGGAGCCAGCAAAATTTGTATATGTATCCGTGACATATTTGTATCCATATTTCTAAATAGAAAGGATTGTGATTCTTTGTTTGTCTACAAAACAGTACTGTGCATCAATATATTTAAATTTAAGTACAGTAGATAATAGTGAAGTAGCCAATGGCGCGACTTCAGTTGGTGCTCTTTAATTGCTTTTGGAATAGAATGGAAATAATTTTCTCAATATTTTTTTCTCAACGGCTCTCTCAGTACACAATTTTTACCGTCGTTTGGATTGGCTATACATTTGCTTTTATTGACAGATATTAAAAACAACATCCCAATTATTGCCAGTGACAGTAATCTTCTACTGTTAAATCAAATCAACAATGAAATAATAAATAGAAAAAAGATCGTGTATGAAAAAGGATATGAAGGAAAGCATTGAGAAGGACTACTAGCATTTGCAGTATTCATGATGAAAACGCGCGACCTTGGCTTCGGCGAGGTGAAAATGCTCAGTTCCTTGATAATTTTGCCACTTCTTTTCTTGCCACAAAAAAGAAAGAAAGAAAAAGAAAAAACCCCAGATTCCCTACGATTGTGCTTTTGAATAAGATGAACGAAGAATAATCCATGTATCCCATATCCATGTTTCTTTTTAATTAAAATTACGCCTCGTCTTCATCCAACAACTTACGATTTCATACTAATTACATTTTTTATTTTGATAGCAGAATATTGTAGTTGTGTTTGACATATCCCAGGTTCAATCGTTACCAAAAACATAATAGATTAAAAAAAAAAGTCGCCCATTACATGAAAATATCCGAACTCAGAAATGCTCACTATCACGACATGATAACAATCCAATACAGCTCCTTTCTAGATAATCTAGTTTCTGACACGAAGAAAAATACACCGCAGACTAGTTTTTGCACTCAGATAACACTAAAGCATCCGGAATATTCTTACACTACTCTCTACTTACCAAATGGCAAGGCCAGTATTCGGAATATCACATGCAGGGCATATTAGATCATAACTCTATCTTTATATATAACAAGATGTGTCCCAATATAACTTACAGAACATATACAATTCAACACAACCCACTTAACAAGTCAGTCCGGATGAAAAGAAAATGAAGGCTATTTTCCCCTCAACGGGGAGGTCAGCTAAAACTTGAAGAACGCTCATCAGTGGACTGATATGTCGGCATTTGTCTGCTGGGTGATTTTAGGAGGGGCTGATTTTGCTTCCTTGCCCACTTTTGACTTTTCGCAGCTGCCATTGTTCTTACGTCCAAGAACCTGCTCCTTAGTTTTCGGAGTGACAGGGCTGTTTGATGCCTCTTTCCGACTACCAAGGCTGTGACGTTGTTGCCGAGAGCAAACTTCCGATGATGAGCCGAAAGCATCACCAGAGCTCTTTCTCCTCGACAGTTTTGGTGACTTTGGCCGAGTCAGTGGCAGCTGCCATCAAAGAAAAGAGCACAAGACCAGTGAACTCAAGAATTAGCACCATCGGCTTGCATGCATGTTATCATCGTTTCAACTGCAGTGTAATGCATCACCTACGTCTCTCCAGGATATTATTCCCCCCATAATTTTCATATCGCATCCTACTCAGGAAGGGCACGGTGAAAATAGGAAAGAGTACCTTCTTAAGTTCAACCTTGGGAGGAGGTCCTTCATAGTAGAAACTTGGTACCGGATTTGCCCTGATTACCAAGTTCTTCCTCAATTGCTTGATGGCTGCTTCTTCCTCTTCCTGAGAACAGTTATTTGATCAATGTAATGCATAGAAGGTAATATGGGAGGAGAGACAGAAAACAATACACCAGTGCACTTATCATTATCAACAATAGGCTTCGGTTGAGGAAAATTACAGAAAAGGGAAGAGCAAGACAATATACCTTCTGCCGTGCTTTGTATTGGTTTCTTTCTTCTTCAAGAGCTCGATGTTTCTCCCCTAGCTTCAGATAAAACTGGACGGAAAAACCAAAGTGAAGATGATAACACCAGCTCAAAAGCAGCATACCTCACAGACATATATCAAATTTAGTTCTGTAAATGCATACCTCCCTCCGTTTCTCTGCACGGTCCGAGCATCTAAATGTAGGGGCTGAACCTACAGTTACCCTAGATCTAGCTGTCTGGGCAGATGCAGCACTACTGTGTGGTTAAAGGAACAAATAGCAAAGCAATTTTCATGTTATTTAGATGCGAGTCTAGTCAATTGCAGCAATATCTATCTAGAGTTACGCAACAGTTATAATTAAAACCCACAAGAGTTATCATATAGGGCAGCTGCTTAGGTCTTTGCAACATATCTAAAGCTACCTGTTCAAATAATGACCATCAGAATATTATTAAGTTTGAAGGATACGAGGAAGCAACAGACCAATTATCATCATCGTCATGGTGCTTCTTATCATCATATAGCAAGGATTTCCTTGATGAAAAAGTTGAGTTTGTCTGAAAATAAAGATAAAGATTTTGCACATCACTAATCTCGTTAAAACACAACACTGAACAAAAATACCAATTTTAACTGTATAAGCGGGTAAATTCAATATCCTGAACAGTTATTTCTATGGATGGTTGCTTTTCCCAAGCGAGTGACTATTTCAAGATTTATTTCTAAAAAAGTCCAATGCGCATTAGTTGCTACATAAACAAAGTCTTATGAATTATCCCATCAATCATCAATTTTGACCTGGTTCTTGAAACAGAATTACCAGTTTAATGATGGCAAGAGGGAAAACAAATCCTCAGTTAGAGTTACACATGAAATGTTATCGAACATACATAATATATATATATATATAATATAAAATCTTAGCCCATCATGCAATAAGCCAATAACAACTCCACCTTCAAAATTTCTCAAGCACAATCACGAACACACTAATATAGAAATGCAACTCCACATTTTCACTAAAGTAGAGATGCCGTTCTTAATATATTTCTTAAAAAAAAAAAAAACGTTGGCATGACATTAAGTAAGCCACTGAAACTTCCAGTTACCCGCAAATGCTTTGTTGAATTTGCTGAATGTGTGTTGTTAGCATTTGGTGACATGTTCAAACCAGTCATAAGAGCTTCAGTACCAACGCTCTGCGTGTCAGAGCCATTCTTTTCAGCAGCCAGATCAGATGACAGTGGAATAGAGTGGCTTGTAGGTTCCAATTCTACAGCTGTAGATCTTGTAGCAGGTGAACCGAGCTTTTTACTGTCACCCGTCTTCTGTGCTTCTGATTTCTCATTCTTCTCCTCGGTGAAGTCAGCAAACTGGCTTGTGCTTTTAGCACTCAAGAAATCCTTTTTGTCATCACATTTGTTAATACAAGAATTAACTTCTGTACATTCCATTACCTCATGATCCTTTGTTTCAACCTTAACTCCAGCAATTCTTGGAGAAACATGAACTTTATCATTGGAACTGCCATTTGAAGTCGCTGCGATACCATTTGACCTCGAGGCCGCAACATGAATGCCAGTAACTTCCCTCCCCATGACACTGCATGATTCAAGTTACAGGGAAACCAACATAATAGTTTGAAGGTGCTGCTATTGGTTGAAAAAATCCATCACTTTGACTTAAGAAGAAAATTTCTACAAACGTATTCTCAAACAACAATAAGAGAAGATTAATAGAACATTATTGCACTTCGACTTAAAAAATCCACTGCATATAACACTTCCAAGTCCGGAGTGCCAAAACTCCAACTCCAAACCGCGAGAGAGGCAGCAAGGAGAAGAGATTTAAAACATAAAAGATAAAGGGCGGAAGTACAACATGAGGTAGATTCCTCTGCACATAAGATTTAACAGATAAGAAAGAGTAACTGGTTCAAAAGGAAAAAGTTATTCCAGCAGAACCTATGTTCATCAGAAAAGATATTTTGATATGATTGTGTAACTTCATAGCATCATAAAACCATTTCATGATCCTAATCCCTAGGCCGGGTTTTAAAATGAAACGCTCTTTTTCGGCAGCCAAAGGATTTTAAAAAATAATAATAATGTTAAAAAAAACCAAAAATATGGACATATGGAACGCATTAAAGATTAAATATCAAGAATATGTAGACGCCCTGCAGAATAAAACCTCGGGTTTGGGCCCAAAATGCAATTTGGCAAGGAAACGGCTAATATTTGGCGTTTGAATCCATGAGTTCAACATCTAATAAAGACGAGGCACGTATAATGTCAAAATCCTTTTACCCAAGACAAGGAGCTAGCACTGCAATGGGGCAGTGGCCAGAGACGAAAGACGAAAAGAAAAAGAAAAGAGATAATCTTCTGTTGGGCGGAAGAGTCATGAGTTGTGAAAGACTGCCGCCCCCACAGAAGGAAACGAGGATAAGACTCGATAGAGAAAGGGGAGGGGGAAGGGAGAGAAAGATCCCCTAGGCAGGATATGACGGAGCTTAAATCTCATGGAAGGAACAGGAAAGATCGACACCCACATTGCAGAGATTGAAAAAATTAGAGACGTCAAGAGCGAGAAGCGCACCACAGTCAGCTGAGAATGTGAAGATTTGGCTCACGATCTGACAAGATCTCTCCGGAGGCCTTCCTCCTCCTCCTCTCCTGCTCGCCGCTCTCCCTCCCTCCCTCTCTCTCTGGACGTGCGAAATAGAGCAAATAAATTTGTAAATGATATTCCTTTTCTCGAGGGAGGTTCACAAAAACCTTTTTTCTTTTTTTTTTGGGAGCTAAATGCTAATTACATATTTTTTTCCCCTAAGAGCGGTACACCTCACGGGTAAGAATGGACATATATAGAGCGGGGTTTTTTCACTCGGACGTTAGAAACGGCGGTTGGGAAACACTTGTATTTTCGTTGTCAAAGACGAAGAGTTGACGGTGATAACGGACACTCGGACAGTGAAATTTGAACAGACTTGACGTTCAACCCCCCTCGGAATTTGTCTGACCCACTCCCCTCCCCACCCAAAAAATAAATAAATAAATAAATAAATAAAAATTGGACAACTTGATTTATGAGCCCCGCAAAATCCACTTCGCCTTTGCCGCTGGTCTGGACGCCACCCCCACTCTGTACGGAAAAATGTCACTCCCAGAATATCACTATTTCATGATTATTATACTCCATCGCGACTTTATTTTTTTATTAATTCACATCAATTGATTTTTAAATATAAATTGAAATTGAAATAGTCTATAGAATTTAAATCTGTCATTTCCGTTTGTGCGCTGAACACGTTAGATGGGAAAATTAATATTATTTGTGGAGATATATGATTATAAAACGTGGCATTAACTTTATTAGCCATCATATGACCAGGGTGGAGAGCTTGGTAGGTAGGTAGGTAGTTAGAGGGTTGAAAAATGAAACTGAAGCAACCGATCTGCAATTAATGTTTAGGCCACAGAAATGGAGTACCGCCCAAAAAAAGAAAGAAAAGGGAAGTTGGGTAATAAACTGACAATGTAGGGTTAACTTAAGAATGAAGACATACGACGAGTATTATAAGAACAAATACGCATCGTGAGAAGGACGACATGCGCTGGGGAATGATAAATTATTTAAGATTCGGAATCTGGACAATAGTCTTGGATGAAAGTGAGAGGGGAAGGCGGGGGGAAAAAGTGTAATTGAAAGAAATAATACAAATTTAAATTTAAGTTTTATCAACGAGGGAACAAGAAAAGTGGTGATTTTCAGGGGATGGAGAGCATTGTAATTTGAGGGAGACATATTATTCCCAGGAAAGAGGAGGGTGGGAGGGCAGTGGCGTGTTTGGCTTTCTTTTTGGGAGGACAGGACAGGAACGCTCATTGATCCCACGGGAAGGCGTTTGAGGAAGCAAATAGTGGGAAGGTGAGCTTGTGGATGAAGTTGGGGGCGGGATTCAGGAATTCCTCCAAGTTAGGTTGCTGTCATGCACTTTGTTACCTTATTGTTAAAGAAGTCAGAGGGGTGGGGGCGGCAATTGAGGAGGCAGGAAAAAGGAGGTGGCATACAAATTACAATGCAACATGTATGTCATATACGAGTTTGATGCCGCCACGTGTCTCTCAAGTTTCAACATCACGTGACCTCAATCAAGGTTCCCGTTCCCATGCCTCAGGTTGCACCCGCAATTCCCAGTGATTAACAAGTGGAGAGAATTAGGCATTGTTCAGTCATGTTGGCGTTAATAATGGAGCATACAGGATTTGATTGTCTGTGGAAATGGTGAAAACCAAGCATAAAAAACAAACACCACCAGCGCCCCTCTCCATCAACTTTCATGCTTCTCCTAAACCCCCATCTTTCAACCTCTATTTCAAACCGGAAAAAAACTGCATTCTAATTATAATTAGTTTTTTTTTTCCTGGCCTGGAAATATTAAGAATGATCGTGGCTGTGGGTTTTTTTTTTTTTTTTTTGAATAAAACTGAGTCACATATTAATCAGTCCACAAAGAGTATAACAAACTTACCACTAAATAAAAGATTTCCTTCATCGTTCGCCTTCTCTTGAGGAAGGGATAAGGAAATAATTGAAGATACAAAGACTTCTTTCCAAGCTATGCGAATACCTAGCAAGAAAATCAGCAAAAACATTAAATTCACGAAATGCATTTTGAATATTAAGCGTCCAAGTTTTGTGATATAGTAAGTGTTTCATCAATGATGTCCTTGAAGGAGTGAGTCATACCAGTTGTTGTGGAAATTAGATCGTTCATAAATATGAGAGTTTGCATGTGAGGGGAATTTATTTATTTTTTAATTATTTATCGTGTCGTCCAATCACACGAATGAAGCATCGGTCATGTGAGAATGTTAAAATAAATCATAGCGATGAAGTTCAGCATCAAATGGTACATATTATATATGGAGAGTATTATTTTATGTGGATATTTTTCAGGGAATATATAAAAGCCAACAATCTTGTTCGGTAATAAAGGAATGAAAGAAAGGGGAGGAGCAGGAAAGGGAAAAAAGTAGAGTCAAAAGGGGCAGGAGAGAGGAGTGTGTATGAGAGGAGGTGAACAGAGGAGAGAGGTTTGAATGCATGATGTGAATGCTTGAAACAAAATAAATGTAGAGGTGATAATGCTGATTACTGGATAGCAGCTCAGGTTATGAGGAGCATATATGGTATTACAAGGATGGCTTTTTGAGCCACCATCTTCTCTAGTTAACATTTTGGTTTTAGATATGCAAATGCAGAATGGAGGTGCTGAAGCAAAGATGAAGGAAGGAATTGGTTTGCGGTACAGTTTGCCTTTGGTTCATTGTTTGTTACGTTGTTTAACTGTTTATTTGCCTTTTAGGTTGTATTTCAGGTTTTATTTGCTTTTGCTGATGGGGTGTACTGTAGGTGTTTTTCTTTTTTCTCTTGACAGGTGAATTAGTTGTGTATGTAATTGTTTTTGATTGATTAATAAAATGGCCTTGTTTTGCTTAAAAGGGAAAAAGAAAAAAGAAAAAGAAAAAGAAGCAGAATGGACTTCAGTCTCAGTTCGCTCAATTTTCTTTTTTTGAATTTCAAGGCAGGTCAAATTCTCTTTCCTAAAATCACATTCTCATGGTTTCACATCTCTCAATCTATGCATAATATATTGCTTCTGCACAGATCGGCTTCTCTCTCGCCCTTTCTACAACGTGCAGTTTTAGTTACAAGGCAAAGCAAATTGCGTGTTGGTTCACTTGCCCCTCCGTTTCCAATTCCGGTGAGCCCCTGCCCCTAACACTCCTCTCCCCGGCCCCTTCAATGACTCTCTTCCAGCCTTTCCTTCCCCTGTAAGCATCCACCATATAATAAACTCATCCAAATTTGAATCACTAAATATTAAATTAAAGTATTTTTTAAAACAAAAAACAATCATCTTGTTCATGTTTGAAGGGAGAGGAACGACGTGAGGTGGAAATGAACAAGGAGCACGTGAGCGTAGTTGGTTGGTTTGAATTTTGAAGTGAATGACTCCGAACCCAATTCGTGAACTTATCAAAGATTTTATAATCTCAAGTTTCAGATTTATAGTAACTCAAGAATCAACGGCCGTCAATCAATGAACCTGCCCTCAACAGCATTAAATAGAAGTATATTCTCTCTATCTATTTTTGTGTCACTTCTCCTTTACACTCACGCCAAGTCATTCCAACCCTGTCACCCCGATTAAGCCCAACCTTGGGCATTAATTCAGCTAATAGACTCCTCCGCAATCAACCGCAACAACATCAATTAACACTCACTCTTCATTCCTTATTTATACTTCACCCAACCCCTAGCCATGCCTATTCCATCCTTGTATATCCTAACTTGTGGATGCTTGCATTTATTTGCGACGACAGTGATGTTTAATTGTTTATGTGCATATCAGTAGGTGACTGAATCATTCGCAGGATATGACTGAACCGACATGCTAACCACAAATTGAACTGCATATCGCTCCCTGGCTTGGATATGTGAATAACGTGCGTCTGCTAACCTTTCCCTTCATTGACTTCTCTCGGGCACGTAATTGATTAATTAGCACAACTACGCCATCGCGTACGTACGTGCAACTGATAGCCGCTCTTTATATTCCTTGCGATATAGGAGTAGTCTGAGATATACATGTCACCCAACGCACACGTTTGTCCCATTCCTTCTGCGGGGATACAAGAAATACTATATGCATTTCCCATGTAGCAGACATTATATACCACCTTATTAATAATTTGCTCATCTATTCTACACATGGACCCCGGCGGTTGACCTACATATTCCTAACTCCTTTTTTTTTTTTTTTGCCCAATGCGGTGGTGGGATCATCATTATCCATGATAGCAATTTGACAGCGCTTAACTGAACTACTCCTATCACAATTTTCTGATGAGACAGGCGTAAATGCGAGGTTACACGTTATATACTTTCTCCACCAAAACGATGCTAAAAGAAAAGAAAAGACATGAATGTACCTGTGATGATCTTTATACCCAAGGCAAACGAAACTGACATTATTATACTACCAAATAATGTCAATTAAAGATGATCAAATTATTATTCCACGACGGATTGATCCAAGGCCGACTCAATTATGTTGTTTCTCTTGTCAAAGAGATTTCTATTTTCACAGGCAAGTAGTTGTCAAATGATATTTTGCAATCTTCTGATTTCTGTTATGCGTGCAATGAATGAACCACCTTTATAAATCTCAAATTTAGCCGGCAAGTTGAGGCCGATGCTTTTCTTTTGGCCCAGGCATCATTTAGCGGACCCTCCATTGTCGCTTTTATAATTCGAATTTTTATCAGAAATAATTCAGGTTTTGGCTCACAATTAAGTCTGAAAAATATTTCTATTTTTTCCATATACAAAATTTAGATGAGTTAGATTCAAAAGCTCATTAGGATCAAGGCATGTCTTCAGGCTTATAAAAATTAGGGAGCACTTAAAAGGAGGTTACTATTGAAGCAAAAGGGTTCAAATCTTGAAATTGATGGGCTACCAAGTGAGGCATGGAGGGGTGGACGGGGCAGAATAAACTAGTGAAAAGAAGAACGGGGAGCTGAGGGCGAACATTGCGGGGTGGGAGAGTGGGCCATGAGTGGACGAAGCCCAGAAAAGGAGGCCCATGGGAATAACGAGATATAACTGCCATCAACAGAACTATTTCTCTCGTATTTCAGGGAACCGGTTAGTTTGCCCCATGCAACGACCCCGCCCACGCCCCTTTCCACGGCCGCCACGTGTGCTCCAAGAATTGCTATAATCTGTAAGAGCGTTCGTCTATAT